GCCCTCCCCAGGGGCAGCGGTAAGCATGGATGGCCAGCTTCACCCTGTGGGGCTGACCGGCCGCCTACGAGCCACAAAGGGCAGCCAGTGGTGTCAGAGACATGCCTCTGGGAAGGCCCCCAGGAGGGCGGCCTCTACCGGCTCTGGGTGGGGGGCTGGGGGCTCAGGTCTGGGCGTCCCACGACGCCCCTAGCTTCCCAAGCCCACTTTCACGTGACGCTAGCCGTCGCTGAGCCTGACTCAGCCAAGACCCCAGGACCTGGTCGTCTCCCCCTAGTGCTAAGACACATGCTTTTCTTTAAAAAAATGTTAAGTGTGTGCGTAAAGAAGCTGTTATGCATGTGCAACTTAATAATTATAAAGGAAATAAAAGAGAGATAACGTCTTCAACGGGGGTAGATGGAGGCTCGTCTGAGCCCCTCCCGGGCTCCATCTCCTGCCAGCGCTGCCCCATGGGCCAAACCCACCTGGAACCCGGGAGGCGCCGGTGTCATCCCACGAGGCTGCCTCCCGGGCACAGAGGAGGGTGCAGGGATGCCAGAGAGCTGCACAGACCCCAACGACAGCCTCCATGCCAGGCGACCAGCCTGTGCTGCCACCTGGCCACGGGCAGCCTAGTCCTTGACTGCAGGGGGCCCTGTGAGGTCCCCATCAGCCCGGGAACCTGATGTATGAAACTAAGAGTCTGGGACAGGCACCCCTCTTCTCTGCCCTGGGTGCAGCATTTTGGGGAGAGCGTGACAGGGTGCAGATGCCAGTGGCAGGTGTGTGACCCAGGGCAAGTCCGCAGGCTGGGGGAGGAGATGGTGCTCCTTAAGAGAGCAGCGTTCCCTGCCTGCCCTGCAGGCACAGGGGCTTCACCACGGGAGCCCCCAGCTACATTGGGGGAGGGGGGTCCTGCTTCCCCACGAGGTGCCTCCACAAACCGCACCCTTAGAATTCGGCCGTTCAGTTTCTCCCCCAGGCTCTCGCTGCCTTCCCTCACCCCCATCTTGGGAAGGTCAGGTGGCCCTCAGGCAAACCTCAGCGCTTCGAGCTTCCATCTATCCTCTCCCACCTGTCCCACCTCCAACACCTGAGGGGTTTCTAGGGCCTGGGAGTAAGTGAGGGGGGCCTGGACTGGGCCCAGACAGGGATAGAAATTTCAGGCTAGGCCCCTGGGGACACTGGGGCAGCTCCTTGGAAGTGGGGGTAAGAGACAAGGCATCTGCGACCCTTTGTTTTAAAGGAAACTTAGGATGTTTGGGAAACTCTCTCTTAGGAATCGTAACCAGGTGTCCGCTGGTGTTGAAACTAAAAAAACAGCTGCAATGCGAGTTCACGTGGAGGGGGAAGATCAGCTACCGGACGGTGGACCTCCAGCTTCAAGACCCCGCCCAGGTGGAGAGGGAGATATACAAAGGTAGGGCCGCCATTTCTGCAGCCGCGTGCTGGGGCGCTCCTCAGGGGAGCACACTCTCCCTTCCCGGCTCTTCCACGTGCCGATGCCCCCCGCCCTGTCCCCGCCTCTCACTTAGCTCCTATTCTTTCGTTGGGGTTGGGAAGTGTCCCCACATTCCTGAGGCACTGCTGCTCTAACCTCAGGTGGCCGGCCGCCCCAACACAGACCCCACCCACCTGTCATTCCTGGAAACACAGCAAACACCGGGCCTTTGGACAAAGCTTACCAAAGCCTGAGGTTGGTGTTAGGTAATGACAGAGGATTGAAAGCCTTCATCCTCCTGGAGTCCACTTCTGCACCCCTCAGAGGGCCCCCTGGTGGTCACTGCCCACCCCCGTCAGCCTGCACTTCCCTCTGGGTAGCTTCTTCTCTTTCCCACTTTTGCACGGGTCTCAGCCAGGCCAGCAAGAATGACCCCTTCCAGGGAGACGGGCTCTTCATATCAGTAAACAGCTCAGCATCTGAGGGGAAGGCCTTTCCATGACTTCGAGAGCTCAGCTCCCCGAGAACCCCGTGGGATCCCTTCCAAAATGGAGAAGCCCTGTTCCCAATTCTAGTGTTCACCCCGAACACAGCAGCTGCTTGAGACCCCCAGTTGGCGAGTTCCTACCTGGAAATGACACAGGCCCTTGCACCCGGCTGTGTCTGGGCAGCTGTCTGCCCCGCAGCCCTCGTTGACGCCTGTCCTGACTGTCTAGCCCTGAGCTCTGTGGGCAGGACCGGGGGGCTGTGTGCTCAGCACACGGCAGAGCTCCTCACACCATGGGTGCCTGCTCTACAAAGGCTCTGGGGAAGGATGTGTAATGGGCAGCCCATCATAAGGCATCTTTAGAATAGCGTCTCAGAACTCCCGTCCGCTGCTGAAGGGCGTGTGAGTTGGTGCAACCACTTTGAGAACTGGCATTATAATATCTGCTAAAGCTGCAGGAGTGCACACCCTATAACGCTCCAAGATGCCACTCCTCAGTGTCATCCAGCCAGGATGTGCACAAAAAGCCAGGTTCCGGCACGTGCAGAGCGGCACTATTGAGAGAGCCCACACTGGACATGACCGAGATGTCCATCATCGGCAGACTGGCTCAAGGCACTGTCGCAAGGGCTCAGGGTCCCCTGCTCCAAGTACTGGTACAGGTGACTTGTAGGGCTGTCATGTTGAGTGGAAGAACCAGACACGAGAGAGCACATCATTTATGACTCCAGCGCTAGCTTTGGCAGCACATATACTAGTTTACGACTCCATTCATAACTGGGTGGGACCACATGAAATTGCTGTTCTTGTATCAAAAATGGTCCTATATCATCAAATTCATTAGGCTCAACCAAGTATCAAGTACAAAAATGGGCAAAAGCAATAGGTGCTGGTTGGGGTCAGGGGAGTGGTCACTCTTGGTGGGGGCTAATGACCAGCTGGAGCAAGAGGGACTCCTGGGGGCTGGCCACGTTCTGTCTCTTGATCCAGGGGCTGGTTACACGTGTGTGTTCAGCCTGTGAAAAGCACCGAGCCACACACGTACGACAAAGAGCGCTGTTCTGTACATACGTTACGCTTCACTACAAAGTAATGAAAGTCATATCTTCAGTCGTGACTGTGAAATGGTAACTGAGGCAGGAGAAGTTTACAGAGAAGCAGCCCTGGTTTTTAACGTGCCCCTGGTCCTGTCTCTGAAGGATTGTGCAACTCATTGGGGCCCTTCCTCAGATCAGGGCTGTCCCCCGAATATGAACGACATGCATAGTAGCTGTCCACAGGTTTCATTGCTGGTGCCCCAGAAAAATGCCAGCGTTCTTCTCATCTGACCGAGGCCCAGCGGTCTGCCCGTGGAGAGCCCTCAGTGCCTCTGGTTCAAGCACTGCTGTCACTTACAGTGTCAGTGCCCCCTGGAGGTCACAGCCCTCCAACCTCCCCAGGGGGCCTGTACCTAAACCTTTGGAGTCTGTCCAGATGTGTCCCCTCCCCAGACCCAAAGCCATCGTCAGGCGGAATGGGTCACAAATAAGTTGCACTGTCCAGGGAGCTTACAGCGTTGCAAGTGTGGACTCAGCGACCACCAGGCACGGCTGCTGGAGAGAAGGGCCTTCCAACCCTGGCCTTCCAGGGCTGACTTCCTATTCCAGGGAGCATCCACAGGCACATTCTGAGAGAGGAAGGAAGGTGAGATACGGATACCCCGGGGGACAAAGCGAGTAACTGGGGAGGCCCTGAGAGCATCACCTTGTGTCTCCGTGTTTCCCCTGAGCTGGTGACGATGATGTCTGTGTCCTTGTCTTGTCCTTGGCACGTATATCCTACTTATCTTTCCCTCGCCTAAACCATCCTGGGCGACAGTTCATTTCAAGATGCTAGCAGATCCTCCAGCTCCTGGCTTCTCGGTGTGGCTCCTGGTCTGCCACAGTGATATCACCTGGGGCTTGTTGGAACTGCAGAATCTCGGCCGCGGCCCAGACCTGCTGAGTCAGACCCCTGATGAGTCATATGCACTTAAATTTTGAGAAACCCTGATCAAAGCAGGACCAGTTACATGATTCAGGGTGCTCAGTGCAAAATAATCATAATAAAATCACTATGTATTATATATGTAGAGTTCGGGGTATATATTAAGCATGTAAAAAATTGTGTATAGTTCTCAAAAAAAGTGCTTTAAACCCTCTCTGAAGGCTGTATCTAGGAAATAGAATATAAGGAAAGAAATAGTTTTCCTTCCTCCTCTGCTTCTCAGTAATGCTGCTTCCTTTTCCCGCTCCCTTCCTTCAAGGACAGCACCGTAGGATGACGGCAAAATATTTCGTGACCAAAGATAAATAACAAATAGTATTAAATGGTGACACTACCTGTTATTGACGTGGCACATTTGCTTATGTGTCCTTATTTAGCCAAGGGGTCCTGCCCCCTTGAGTTTCTCTGTGATCCTTCCAGCAGACCTTGGGTGGCTGGTGGTTGGTTGGCTGTGGGAGCATGTCCCCTCTCAGGGGTCTGCTGAGCTCCAGACTTACCACCGGACTTTAGATTAGCCTTCGTTCCCAACAGACAGGAAGACGCAGAGGCGCTTTGACTAGGTGTTCTCGAGTGGAGGGGGCAGCTGCAATGCCATGTACACACCTACCTGTGGAATTGAGTGTGTGCTGTTTGTCATGTGTGTTAGCGTGTGCATTTATGTGTATGTGTTATGTGTGTGTGTATGTGTTTTTTGTGTGTGTGAAACAGTTGGACGCAAAAAGGCAGAAGACACTGTAATACTGTACTGGAGCAAATACATACAAGTACAGTGTATATATATATATATATATATATATATATATATATTCTAGTTTTAAAAGTAATACGTACCTCTATTGGTTATCTATTTTTACATAACAAAATTACCCCAAAATTTAGCCGCTTGAAACGCAAGCATTTCTTCTCTCACACTGTGTGGGGGTCAGGAATTGGATACCTGCTGGGTGGTTCTGGCTCAGGCTCTCAGATGAGGCTGCTGTCGAGAGGTCGGCTGGGGCTGCATCATCCAAAGGCTCTGCTGGGGCTGGTGAGCTGCTCCCTCACAGGGCCGTTGCCAGGAGGCCACAGGTTCTGGCTGGCCACTGGCAGAGAGGCCTCTCCATAGGTACTTGGTATCCTTATGACAGGGCAGGTGTCTTCTCCCAGAGGGAACCATCCAACAGAAAGCGGGAGCAAGCCGTGATGCCTGTTAGGACCTAGTTACACGGTCACTTCCACCATATCTATTCTTTGTATTATTTATTTATTTATTTATTTATTTATTTATTTATTTATTTATTTCAGTTACAGTTGACACCACCATATCTACTAGGGGTGTCAAAAAAATGTACACGTTCTCAGAGATGTTATCTATGTATTACCTTTCAAAGTTGAATTGAATTACAGTAGCAATGTGTAGTATGACGTTCTCTCAAAAGATGGTGTTAACAAATGAATGCTAGTGTCATTCATTGTATTACAATTTTAATACAGTTGTTTCCTTTCTTAAACGTGTATACATTTTTTTGACACCCTCTGTGTTCTTTAAACACAAATCCGTCCCTGTGTCCAGCCCCAACTCAAATTTCCACCTTTTGTGGGGGGTTGGGAGAGGGAGTGTTGAAACATTTGTGAGCATATTTTAAAACTATCGCAACACCCACTGGAAAATGTTCAAAAACATAAAGAAAGAGAACAGAGCCCATCCGCAATCCCAATGTGAATATATCGGTATATTTTCCTCTAGTCTTTTTGAGAGTATACAAGTTCTGACAATTAAGTCCGCAAACCTGTTGCAATGATGTTGCTACCCTTTTTTTGATAGCAGAGGGATTATTCATTATGAATTTATACCAACTGGACAAACAGTTAACCAAGTTTCCTATTTGGAAGTGCTGAAAAGGCTGCGTGAAAAAGTTACACGACCTGAACTTTTCACCAACAATTCATGGCTCTTGCATCACGACAATCCACCAGCTCTCACGACACTGTCTGTGAGGGAGTTTTTAGCCAGTAAACAAATCACTGTATTGGAACACCCTCCCTACTCACCTGATGTGCCCCCCAATGACTTCTTTCTTTACCTGACGATAAAGGAAATATCGAAAGGAAGACATTTTTTTTTTAAGTCTTCCAACAGTTTATTAGAAAGAATGTAGACATTAAAAAAAAATTCCCACTGTCATGAACATAAATTGAGGTTCTCAGCCTGGTACAAGCTGAATCAAAAAAATAAAAAACCCAATAGTGTATTAACATTTTTTTCATTCATTTGCCATACTGACAGTGCAAATATAAATTTGGTCTAAATGTACAGACTCTCAAGCAACAATGTACAGCCTTTCTTTGTCCTCCATGCTAAGAGATGTAAAAGTTTAAGGGTCAAACAATACCAAATGTACAGGCTTCAAAAACCATCTAAGTTAGGGCATTCACTAGTTTTAGCTAAGATACATCTGGAACACTGACAAGTGATCACTTATGTACAATGTGAAGTAAATTTTTTGAAAAAATAAAACTTTAGTGGAACAATCCTGAAGAATATATCAGAGGAACAACAGGTTACCAGTTTAAGGTATCAACCAATTTGTTTCAGCCAGTTTGAGTCCATGTTCTAAAACCGAAAACTTAAGTTCCCTTTCATAAGCCAAGAGCTTCCTATTATGTCAGTATCTATGTTATGAAGTAAAGGAGACTCAGGTGAAATGTTTTTATTTATCACAACTGCTGTATCAATTGCCTATGACCTCAACAGTGTCATGGAAGTCTGGGAAATGTTCATGCATAAGGTTATTGCCTTAGCTGACTTAAAATTGCCCCATACAATGGTACATATCAACCCTTAGTGAAGCCTTTAAGAAAACAAACAGGTTGAAAAAATGGGTTAAAGGAGGCAAATACAGAATTTGCCTTTAGAGCTATCAATTCAGGAATTCTCTCAATTCTGAAATCTTGCAGAGAAGTTATTTTTCTTTCTTACAATTCGGTGACGACATTCCTTACTCCAGGTCTGGCATTTTTTCATCATCACTGTCTTGTGAATCATCATCTGCTCCATCTACTTCTGGTAAATCTACATCCTCATCACCACCCATGTTGTTCATCATCTCAGAGAAACGATCAAAATTGGACATGTCCTCATCTGAATCATCTTCCCAGTCTTTCCAATTATTGAAGTCCACACTAAGCCAATTAAGCTTTGCCCTTTCTTTTGTTAACCTTGGCCATGAGTGGCCAGATTCTCCTTTTCGTAAACAACATAAAATTGATCTATCCGTTCTTTTATGCTTGGAATCATTTGGATCAATACAGTGAAAAAGATCAATTTCATTTAAATGTTTAAAATTATCACTTCCTCCAAGACAACTGAATGTATGAATGTAAGTTTGGATTTTTCAAAATTTACATTAACATCTTTACTGTCTTCAACACAAAATTCAATGAAGACATAGTCCCTTCGTACCACTTTGCAGAAGCAGGCTGCATCGTGAACGGGGCAGGGGGACGGGTGAACGGGTGGGCGGGCCTCTCCGGTGGCAGCTGCTGAGCAGTCGACTCCTCTTTGGTGGCGACTCCGGCGTTTTCTCGGTGCGGCCTCTTCTCGCTTCTCTCAGACGACGGCGGCGGCGGGCTCTACCTGGGTCCCCAGAATGCACCGCGCGGAGAGAGCGGCTCCTCCGGTCGGAGAGAAGAGGAAAGTGTAGGAAAAGGGACGCGAGGACGGAGAATGAACGTATGTGCGTGCGAGCGAGGGTTGGTGAGGCCGGGCGGCGGCTGGTGACGCAGCAGCGGAAAGGAAGACATTTTGATGACATTCAGGACATCAAGGGTAATTCGATGACAGCTCTGATGGCCATTCCAGAAAAAGAGTTCCAAAATTGCTCTGAAGGGTGGACTAGGTGCTGGCATCGGTTCATAGCTTCCCAAGGGAAGTATTTCGAAGGTGACCATTCCGCAATGAAGTATGTAGCCCTTTTTCTAGGATGAGTTTGCGAACTCCATTGCCAGACCTCGTGTGTACTTGCTAACCCTGTATTACACAGCCACCTGAGGGGCCTCAGCTATCACTCTGCAGGCTTCTGTGAAAGGTTGTCTGAGCACCAGGGACTCTGGAAGCTCCTGTACTCTGAAAATAAGCAGTTACTGTTAAGCACAACTGCTTTTTCTCAGATGGGTCATTAATATGGACTCTGGGTTTCTCCTGTCTTGGCCTCTGCAGCCCAAAACATCATCGCTGGGACTGGGATTGGCATTAGCCACGAGCTCATCACTCTGGAGATCACCTCTGCTGAGGTCCCGGACCTGACGCTCATTGATCTCCCTGGCATTGCCAGGGTGGCCGTGGGGAACCAGCCCCCGGATATTGGGCTGCAGGTGAGCCTTTCTGGAGCTTGGCAATGGGCTACACTGAACTTGGGGCGACTTCTAAGGCCTCTGATGGCTGTCCTGAGGACACTGGTTCATCTCCCCAAACCTCTGAGTGGTTGGGGAGCAGACTGGGGTAGGACCGTCCAGGGCAGGGGCCTCCTACTCAGGATCTGCCCAGACCCTGGCAGGTCATGGAAACAGAAGCTGACTCAGTGGGACTGGAGGTGCATGGACAGCTTACGCTGTGCCTGACATTGTCGTGTGGGAATGTGGGCCCGGTGTTATCAGCTGTCCTGATATTCAAAAGAAGCCAGAGGTTTGGATTTTTCCATGAAATCTGCCAGTTTCAGCAACAAAAATACCCTGCCCCAAATTTCATCCCTCTTTCCTTGTCTTTATGAAATTCCTGCTTAAATTATTACAAAGGGAATGTGTTCTCTTATTGAAGTTAACAAGCTAGACCACGAAGGGCATTGTTCTGTCCCAACCCAGCACCGCAGGGCACGCAGCCCACACGCCATTTCCTGTGTGTACCTGGCACGTGCTACCTGGTAACTAATCATAATTACTAAGCTGATGGAATCATGTCCGACCATTTTTGGTTAGCCAGTTATGTCGCTTCTAACTTGACTCTGTTATAAACAACACTAAAAAAGGAATCCAGGACCCCTAAGAAAAGAACGGGGGAGGAAAAATAGGAATTTATTTAAAAAGTAATTTAAAAAGACTTTATACGTATTATAAAACTCCCTTGCTATTCACCCAAAGTAGATTTACTCTAAAAACAAATGCCTAGTGACCACTCACCTTTGTCCAAAGGTTCCTCTCAACTGACTGACTGCTTGACCAGCATCATAGCTAGCTGACTTTTTGCTTTCCTGGCTTTGACCATATTACACACTCTCCTGTCTCTCCGACGCCTCCTTAGGCTAAACACTCCCTTCGAGTGGGCAAAGGAGAGGATGCTCCCTTAACAGCAAACTGCTTGGCAGGATGAGGACTTGATGGGGGAAAAACTGACAAAATGCCATAGTTCGTGGCTGCAAGAGGCTGGGGTAGAGAGAAATAAAATGACAAATATAAAGAGACTCAATCAGGCCATTTTTACTTTAATACGGATACGCAGGGCTTAATTGTTTACATGATGGTACCTTGCGCTCATTGCATCACTTGTGATGCAAATTTCTTATTTTGTGGCTTTGCAGTATTGTATTCTGTGCACGACTTAATGTAATTAGATGGGACAGCTTATGAGCAAAATTGCATGTGAATTGTACCAAAATACTATAAGGAACTATGTCCCAAGATGACAGCCTCGTCTGTATTTATTTGTATCTCCCATGGGGGAAAATATTATTGAAATTCGGTGGTTAAAGGCCTATGTTGCCCACATCTCTTTTGCTTACAAATAAGAAATTTTATTGGATTTCTCAAATTTGAATGAGCTAGACCTCTTCCAAGAACAAAGTGCAGAAAAGTCCTTAATATTAGACATAAACATGCATAGTGATATTATTGATTCAGATACTTTTGGAGCAGACACTGAGCCTGCTACTTGGGGGCGTTGTGCTGGGGTCTGCAATAATGTTGGGGGTCACCAGCCAGCACCGCGGGCTTCTGGTGCAGGTATAGCACACACAAATGACGCTGACAGAAGGCAGAATTTCAGAAGCATCTCAAGCGCGATCTAGAGAGAGAGGAGTAGTCTCACTGGCTATAGGAATCAGAGTTTTCGGGAAAGGACACGTACCAGTGATGGGCATTGAGATTATGATAAGCAGGAAGCCAACAGATCGCTCAATCTGGGCAGGTGGGACAGGCATTCCAGAGGAAGGGGACAGGCCATGCCACAGGCCAGAAGTGTGAAAACTGGGTCAGCTCTGGGACGACATTGGTTTCCATGACACTCGTCTTGCTGTGTTGTTTGTTGGATGACCAGAGATGTCCTCTTCCTTTGTGTCATTTTTGGCATCAATCAGATCAAGGCACTCATCAAGAAATACATCCAGAGGCAAGAGACGATCAACTTGGTGGTGGTCCCCTGCAACGTGGACATCGCCACCACAGAGGCGCTGAGCATGGCCCATGAGGTGGACCCCGAAGGAGACAGGACCATAGGTAAGAAGAGGGAACCAAGCTTCCAGAGGACAGGAAGGGAGGGGGAGGTCCTGGCAGGTTGTGGACTTAGGGCCACTATGAGGGACGCCTGCATCTTATATGAGATCCAAGGGCTATGCCCACAGAAGCCCCATGGGCTCGGTGCATTCACTCACAGTCAGGGTTTGATGCATCCCTGGAATTTGGTTCTTCACCCTCCATCCTCTCGTCCCTCATTTGCATCCATGAACAACCCTGGGTGGGGGACGAGAGCTGCCTTGTTTGCTCCCCCACAATGGCCCAGAAAGGAGAAAGTGGCCCATCAGTTAAGCCATCCCCTAGGTAAGTTCTTAGGACTCCTGGTTCAGAAAGAGCCCTCCCTGAGGCCTCAGTGAACACTACCAGGCCAGCACTGGCGCACGGGTGTCTGCAGGATTGATATGCAGGCAGAACTCTCTGGGGGAACTGGGATGTCTTAAATTTCTTTTTAAGAAAATGTCACCCTAGAAGACAGTATAGTGGACTTGGTTTAAGAGCACAGACTGCCTAGGTCTGAATCCTTGTTTTACCGCTTACTGGCTTCGTATCCTTATGTTTAACCTCTCCTAGGCTCACTCTCCTCATCTGTAAAATTGTACTAACAGTAACACCTACCTGCTAGAGTTGTTGGGAGGGTTACAGGAAGAAATATTGTGCGTGCATAGTGTATTCTCGGCAAATGATAGCTGCTCTATTTTTAACATTATTTATTATCACTTCACCAGTCATTCCACCTACCCAATGAGTTTACCTTCCTGAAAACATGGAAGTTATTTCTTTCGACTAAATGGATACTCAGTTTAGAATTGCCTTTTCCGTTTCTATCCAAACAACTGCCTGGTTGTCCAGTAAGGATAGAAATCAGTATTGGGAATACACTTCAAGTGTGAGGTTTTACTGTGTGCCACACTATGTGTGTGCCTGGTAGGAACACTGACTTCTGTAGGCATCACAACACAATGAGCCATGGAGAGAATTCAGGCTTTGTATTGCTCGTCATCCTAAGTCCAAACGCTTTCTCTTCTCACAGTCATAAGTCATCGGGGACATCTTAGTGGGACCAAAATAGTTAATATCATCTGCCCGCTACATAGATCTATTTGGTTATTGATACCTCTACAGAAATTTAGGAACACTTCTTATTAACAGTCAGTTTTCTTATCCTCTAATTAGCCATAGATTCAAATAACCAAATGTTCTCACGAGTTATTAGCCATTCTTATTATGAATACAACCAAGTACTATAGTCACAGAGTATATACAACCAGACCTCAGTAAGACCCAAAACAAGATTATAACATCAATGCAAATTTTCTATTCTATTCAGTATGCTAGATCAAGTATAGAAATAGATAAAAGTGTGCTGGGTTTAACAAGGAAATGTTCATAGCAGAATTATTCACAACAGCCCAGGTGAAAGCAAACCAAGAGTCTATCAAGAGATGAATGGATAAGCAAACTGTGATCTATAGGGCCAGCTGAGTGGCGCGATGGTTAAGAACTGGCTTGGAACGCCAGAGGGCCCCGGTTTGGATCCCATATATGAGGGCCAGTGACACTGCCCTCTACAGCTAAGATGCTGAACAACAGCTCGACCTGGAGCTGGGCAGCCCTGAGTTGCCGGTGACAGTGTAGGCTGCAGTCCCTGTGGCAGTGGGTTGCCATGGGCTACCGTGAGCAGCCAGCAGCCGCAGTGAGCGGCCGTCCAGAAGCCGGTGACTGTCTCTCCCGGGAAGAGCACAATGATGGTGCCAACTTGGGCCAGTGAAGCAACGTCCTCCACAACTAGACTGAAGAACAAAAGGACAGCAACTTGATGTTCCCCTTCCCCCAATTCCCCAGCTCTGTTCCCATCCCCCCAATTTCCCAATTTAAAAAAAAATGTGATCTATACACACAATGGAGTGTTCTTCAGCCTTAGAAAGGAAGGACCTTCTAACACCTGCTACGACATGGACGAAGCTGGAGGACATTCAGCTGAGTGACATAAGCCAGTCACAGAAGGACAAATGCTGTGTGATCCCACTTGTGTGAGGTTCCTAGAGTGATTAAATTCACAGAGACAGACAGCAGAGCAGTGGTTGCCCAGGCTGGGGACAGAGGAACAGTTAATGTGTGGGCATAGAGTTTCGGTTTTGCAAGGTGAAACAGATCTTGGTGATGGACAGTGGTGATGGTGACGACAATGAGAATATACTTAATGCCACTAAAGTATTCTGAAAAATGGCTACAATGGTACATTTTACGTTATGTATATGTTATCACAATTTTAAAAAAATGAATAAGTTTTAAAAACAGGGTAACGGAGGGTGAAGTGAAGGGGAAGATCATATTTTTATTAGTTGAGTTATGCTGTTCCACACGTGAGTATATATTACTACAATTTTTACAAAAGGAAACTGAATGGTTTGCCACAATTGTAACAGCAAGCCTCGGTTTTTATTATCTTACAGCTTTTTCTCAGAATAAAGTACAGTGATCTAGGCTTTCATAAATAATTACTGATTCCCGGGAAGAGCTTTCTGGGCTGCTATCTCCCTAGAGAAACAGTGAAAGGTCCTGTCCTTTACCGGGGGAAGGTACAACGTAGATTTGGGGGCGTCTTGGCTCTGTCAGTAACATGAGGGTCTGTGCTTTTACTACCACCCTTTTAGGGAGCATAAGAGGTTCTCCTCAATGACATCTCTTGGTAATAAAACTGCCTAAGTGCCAGGTAAGCTTCTTAGAAGCATGGTGATAGAGCCTGTCAGCCGTGATGACGCCTGCTGCCCTGGTGTCTGGCACACAGCAGGCACCCGGAAAACATTTGTTAGGTAAATTATGCAAGGCAGTTAGTGAACTGAGTGGGTAGGTGAGCAAATAAGAGAGGTAATGATGGAATGAGTGAATGACGTCAGGCACTGGGCAGTCAGGCTGTGGAAGGCTTCATCCGTTCTAGCCAAAAAAGGATCCTGGAGCCTAGCCGGGTTCAAATACATTTGAGGAGAGAGCTGATATTTCCATTGCTCTTCTTTTTTTTTTTTTTTTCAATATTTGGTTTCTTTTCAGTCTCAAGGTGTCTTCTTCTGTATGTCCTTAGTTGTAGGACTTCGGTTCAGCTAGACTTCAGGCGATTCTCAATGATGGTAGTTCTGTAGTTTGGTTGTAATTGATGTGGTCCTGAGAGGAGGGGAACACAGGTTTGCCTACTGCGCCATCTTGACCGGAAATCTCTCCATTGCCCTTCTTCAATCATCTCACAGGGATCCTGACCAAACCAGACCTAGTGGACAAAGGCACTGAAAAAGGTGTCCTGAATGTGGTCCAGAACCTCACCTACCGTCTCAAGAAAGGCTACATGATTGTGAAGTGCCGCGGCCAGCAGGAAATCATGAACAAGCTGAGCTTGGCAGAGGCGACCAAGAACGAAATGACGTTCTTTCAAACACATCCGTATTTCAGGTGAGACTCTGGAGGACAGCTCTAGAACTGGCCTCCTCGGAAGACAGCCCCACTTACCAGGAGGGCCAAGATGATAACCAAGTTGCATATAAAAATAACACAATGTAGCATAACCTATCCTTGTCTGCTTTAGTGTTAAATTCATTGGCCTATTGAAATGAGCCATTTTTTCCCCCAGGACTCGAATGATGCTGCTGCTTAAAAATTGTAACATGGCATTTCATAGAGTGTAGGGCACTTTGGATTCCCAAAATGTTTACACCTGGTTTCTCGTTGGAGTCCCACAAAATCCTAAGACATACACAGGGCAGGTCAGGGTCTTCCCGTTTTTATAGGTAAGGATAATGAGGTCAGTTCAATAGTGAAAGGAAACAGGACTAGAAATAGGCCTCCTACATTCCGGAAACCTATATTGACCATCACAAATGGGATGCTGAACATTACAACCTGCTTTTAGGGCACTTGCCACCTCTTTAGAGCCTTAATAATTTATATTACATATAAATTATCCTGTGGAGACTGCAATTTGCAAAACAGTGGGATTTTTTTTTTCCCATTGAATTGGGCACTTTGCCCTTTCGTCTAATTCAGGAACTTGTTGGTCCTGAGCCATGTGGGAGCAGTGCAGTGGGACCCAGAGGTCGCCCCTGCTTTGAGGAGACATGCAGTGGGCACCAGAATTGGGGCAGACCAGGTTGACTGTGTGCCCTTGGGAAAGGGCTCAGCCTCTCTTAGCTTTTGCTTTCTCATCTGCTCAGCGAGTGTTACTACTGCTTCATAGGCTAGTGCTTCGGATTAAATAATGTGACACACACAGAGGTCCTGGTGCACTCCAGAAATACCACTCCGGTTCCTTCTTCCTCTCTGCTCCTGCCCTGAATGGAAGAAACAGATCATTTTCAATAGCGTTGGGGGTCCCAGGGGAGGGCAACTCGCTCACTGAGCAGAGAGAAGGTTCTGTAATACTCACACCCACAGTTCTCAGCCCTGGGCTAGCAGAATGAAGAGTTCCTTAAAACCCAGCTGGTACCCTGTCCCAGAGTTTCCAAGGTTTGGGGTGGGGGCCAAGAATTTGCGTTTCTATCCAGTTTCCGGTTGAGGCTGATGCTGCTGGTGCAGGGACCACATTTTGAAAACCATGGCTCAAGACTTTGGGCAAAGCGAAGTCTCGGATGAGAACGTGTGTTGCTGTGCTTTATCAGCGAGCATCTAAGTTGAAACCCTCGAGTGCCCACGTGCTGGAACTCAGCCCTTGCACAGAGGCGCTCCGAGCAGCACTGGAAAAGCGATCCTATGGGGATGCAGTTGGGGGTGCTTCCTGAGTTTGTGTCGACAACAAACCATCTGCAGCCAGGCTGCCTGGCAGGTGGCCCTGGGTAAGCTACTTGACCTCTCTGTGCTCTGCCTTTCTCTCTCTAACATCGGGTGTTCAGCAATTAAATAGGTTAATATTTGTGAAGACCTTGGAATGGTGCCTGGCCCTTAGTAAGCTCCATGTAAACATTTTTTTACCTATAATTTTACTGTGGTAAGAACACTTAATATGAGGTCTCCCCTCTTCACAGAATCCTAAGGGCGCCACACGGTTCTGCTAACTCCAGGCTCTGTGCTGTTCAGCTCGTCTCTAGAATTCACTCATCTCACGTAACTGGAGCTCTATGTCCATTGGTTAACATCTCCCCATTCCCCCTGGCCCCCAACATTCGCAACCCCCATTCCTCTCTCAGACTGTGTGTTTGACTATTTTAGTAATATCTTATGAAGTGGAGTCGTGCAGCATTTGTCCTGTGACTGGCTCCTGGCACGTAGCATAGTATTCATTCTCAAGGCTCGTTCATGTGGTCACATATTACAGAATTTCCTTCTTTTTAAAGGCTGACTCATATTCCATTGCACTGTTAAAATCAAACACAAATGGAGACCAGACTTGGAAATTTCCTGAACAGACAAAAACAGTTTAGTCGTACAAGCAAAGCTTAATTTAGTTTATTTTGCACGAGAAGTGAGTGCCACCCCCCTGCTATTGCTTTTGAAAGTCACAAGTGAAACTTAAATTGTCCCCTAAAACTGGTATTATGTAACCACTGACCAATTTTTTTGTATATGTAAGAAAATTCTAATATTCTAACCCATCATGGTGAAGAATGGTCGCCGGTTTCTCGCTATAGACGCTGCTTTATAACAACATAGCCCCGAGCCTCAGTCCACGTTTTGGTTTGAGTGTTCCTGGTTTGCAGCCGCCTTTTTGCATGTGTACACAATCAACTTTTGCTGATTACTATGCTTCAGTGATTCGTTGGTTTTTACTTCTGTTTTTTTCTGAAATTTTGACAGTATGTATATACCACCTATTTTTTGCCCGTTCATCCGCCCATGGGCATGTAGAGAAGTTCTTTCCATACCTTGGCTCTTGTGAATAACGCTGCAATGGCTGTGGGAGTGCGAATATCTCTTTGAGAGACTGGTTTCATTTTCTTTTGGATAGATACCCAGGAGTGCAATTGCTGGGTCATAAGGTAGCTCTGTTTTAAAATTTTTGAGGAACCTCCGTACTGTTTTCCATAGAGGCTGTACCACTCTGCATTCACACCAACAATGCACGAGGGTTCTCGTTTCTCCGCGTACTCACCAGCACTTGTCTTTTTTTTTAATACATAATATCCATCCTAGCAGATGTGAAGTGATATCCCATTGTGGTTTTGACTTGCATTTCCCTGGTGATTAGTGACACTGAGCGTCTTTCTCTGTACCTGTTGGCCATTTGTATGTCTTCTTTGAAGAAATCTCTGTCCAAGTCTTTAGCCCATTTTTTAATAAGGTTATTAGTTTTGGGGTTTGTTTGTTTGTTTTGCTATTGAGTTGTAGGAGTTCCTTCTGTATTTTGAAAATGAACCCCTTAGGAGATATAGCACTTGAAAATATTTTCTCTCATTCTATAGGTTGCCCTTTCCTCCGCTGATTGGTTTCTTTGCTGTGCAAGAGCTTTTCAGTTTGATGTCGTCCCACTTTAGTCTGTTTTTTCTTTTCTTGTCTGTGTTTTTGGTGTCATATTCATGAAATCATTTGAGACCAATATCGTGAAGATTTTTCCCTGTGTTTTTTTTCTAGGAGTTTAGCAGTTTCAGGTCTTACTTAAGTTTAAGCCTTCAATCAATTTTCAGTTGACTTTTGTGTATGGTGTGAGATCAGGGTCCAGTATTATTCTTTTGCAAGGGGTATACAGCTCTCGCAGCATCACTGGTTGAAGAGATTACCCTTTCCCCATTGTGTATTCTTGGCACTGTTTTTGAAGATGGGTTGACTGTATCTGCATGGATTTATTTCAGGGCTCTCTATCTTGTACTGGTCCATCTTCATATTAGCACTATGCTGTTTTGTAATAAGAAACTATAGCTTTATAATATACTTTGAAATCAGGAAGTGTGATGCCTCCAGCTTTGTTCTTCTTTCTCGAGGTAGATTTGGCTGTTCGGGAATAAGTATTTCTCACCAGAAATAAAATACTAGTTTGAACAAATCAATAAACCTCAGGGAAGTTAGGTTTGTTTTGTTTTCCTGTAGATAAAAATACGAATTACTTCATGAGTTTGTTTGAGATGATAGGAAAAAGGCACGTAACCTTTGTAGCACCATGTTTGCCTAGGTCTAGGCTCACCTCACAATGAGTGACTGTCTTTCTCAGGCACCACCAGGGTTCTCTAATGGCAGGTGTCACTTCGGGGAAGCCGAGCTCACCTACTCACTCCCAGAGCCAATACTGGGAAAAGGACCCGATGGGCCCGTCCTGAATTCATGTGTGCTGTCTTGTTTCAGAGCCCTCCTGGACGAAGGGAAGGCCACAGTACCCCGTCTGGCTGAAAGACTCACCCATGAGCTCATCCTACACATCAACGTGAGTCAAGGCCTGGGTTGCAAGTTATACACATTGCAGCCCGCCCAAGTCCTTCTCTCCGTCTCCACTTGGCTAAGTCACCCCACAGAACTGCCCAAACAAGCAAACAAACAAGCCCTCCTGAAAAGCAAATTGCTCGTGGTCAGAGGCTCACAGGGGAGCATCTGACATAGGAAAGGAACAGCCGCACCATGTTGAAATGAAAAGTTGGAGCAATCTATCTGGGGAAGCAAAAAGGAGGAGGGAAACTATCACACCAGTTTAGCAGTGTAAAAAAGGAATGGACACCAAGTTAGCAAATTTTTCTTTCTCGCAATGGGTTGTTAATACTTCACAGTATAAAAGACATTTTCCCAGCCTCAAACTTGTAAGAAACACATGTTTTCAGTGTTTCAGTGATTCTCAAAAATGGGCAACTGCAGACAAACATCTTGTGATGTCATCAAAGATGGGAGAAGTGTGGCTTAATACTTATGGAGAAGTAGAGTATTTGTAGGGCTTGCCTGAACCTTTGTACATGAGGTTGAACAACATGGCAAGACTGAAGGGTTAACCCTTAGAGCCAGTACGATCCCAGGGCCTGGGTTCCAGTCCCTGCTAAATTACGTGTCAGACAAAAGCAATGATATTCTTTTGAGCCAGGAAACACATACTCAAATAATACTCGGTTGGAAGGAGGCAGTGGTTCTGAAGCCATAATGCACAAAAGAATCACCTGGAAATTTTGTTAAAACTCATATTTTTGGGCCTCAGCCCAGAGTTTCGGAGTCAGTAGGTGTAGTGCGGGGCCCATGAATTTGCACTTGTAAGCTCCCAGGTGATCCAGGGAACACACTTTGAGAAGCACGGATTGTAGTGGCATTACCTGCGTTGTGCAGAAGAGGGCTCCGAAAGACAAAACCTTGTCTAACTGAGAAAAATATCTTTTTTTTGCAAAAAGATGTTGCCTTTCGATAACTTTTTTGATAACATATTCCTCAACATTTAAATATTTTACATTAAAATTTGAATTAAAATATACACTATTTTTAATTTTTAAAATTTGTATCAAGACTCAGTTATGATCATTATAATTTGAAATATCAAAAAATTTAGTACATTTCTGCCTATAGATACAAACTATCCCAAAAAAAAGAGCTTGTGAGACTTTATTAACTTCCTACTGTCACCCACTTTTTTTTTTTTTTTCCTAGCTGAGCCATCCTGCCACCTGTTAGCAGCTCAGCTCGGGCGGGGAATCGAACTGGCAACCCTGTTGCTCAGAGCTCGCACTCTTGAGTGAGCTCTTAACCGACTGAGCCACTCGGCCGGCCCTTATCACCCACATTTATCGTCTTTTCTGTAGCCTTGGCAAAGCGGCCTCTAAATCCCAATGAACTCATCCTGCCCAGCTGGCTACAGTGACCTCGTGCACCAAAGCAGAAATGGGGGCTCCTACTCACTCAGGTGTCCTTACCTGCAGTGATCACCTGCGCAGGCTTTGGAAGTGGTGATCAGCGTATGAGTTGGAACCTGCCTCTTACTAACGCAGCGATGACATCAGTTTGCCCCTCTGAGTCTTAGGTTCCTAACTTATAAAAATGGAGGCAATAAAGCCATGTGCTTTACTGCAGTGTGGGCTTAACTAAGATGTGGAGGGCCTGGTACGACGCTTGGCCCCAAGACACCCCTCCAGGGTGCCATCCTTTCTTCTCTTCGTCATCAGCATCCTTAATTGGTTATGACTGTGACCAGCCTGACACCAACACCCAAGACATACCCCTTACCAAAGCACCATTTATCAGTTTATAACCCAATCACCAACAGAACATGTTACCAACGAAAGCTTACACCGTATTCAAGCGTACTTATTCTCGAAATACAAAGCACAGAGCCAGAGCAAATGAAAACAAACGCTGGCCTCCACACGCCCCTTGCATAACAGAACTGCAGAGTTCTGCACCGGACATTCACACTGCAGCACCCCTGCTGCCTGCCAAGCCCGCCTTGGGCTCCTTGACAGGCCTTCATCTCAACAGGCTTCCCACAATAATAGAAACTCTGCATCATCTCAAATGCTTTCAAATGGAGTTCTGCCCCCATACCCAAGACACCCGTCAGCTAATCCAAGCTGTAGGGTTTCATTGCTTGCTATCGTTTTGTTTAGAAATCGCTCCCGTTGTTAGAGAATCAAATCAGGGAGAGCCACCAGATTGCGACGGAGGAGCTGCGCCAGTGTGGGGAGAACATCCCCAGCAGTGATACCGATAAGATGTTCTTTCTGATTGAGGTGAGGATTTCCGGGGACTCCACCCGACACTCAGGCACAGAAACTGGCCTGTCCGGTACCAGATCCCTTTAGGTGGCCGCATGCTTCCTGCTGGCCCAGCCCGTCCGAGGTGGACCTCTGTGCTCCCACACCTGCGTCCTGCTGGGAGCCCTGTTCTGCCCTCTGTTGTCTCACCTGGGAGAGGAGCTGGTTGGGTGGGTGATCTGACCTCCTTGCAGTCCCCAGCCCCCAACACCACATGCTGCTCCCCCAGGTCCTGGCTCTTCAATGTGATGGCAGCACATATTGATGACTTCATCTCATTTTCAGAAAATTAAAGCGTTTAATCGGGACATTGAAAAGTTAGTACAAGGAGAAGAAATAGTAAAGGAAAAGGAGACCCGCTTATACAACAAACTCAGAGAGGAGTTTAAAAACTGGATATGCGTACTTGAAGCCAATACCAAAAAAGGTAAGTCAAGTTTAGGCTGCCCCTAAAAGCAGTGTCTTGTATCCCAAAACCAGAAGCTACTTCCCACGCATCAAAAGCATGCAAAGAGCTAACACGCCCACACCAGACACCCCGGGCCCCTTTGTCACCCATGACTGCTTTCTGCTTTCCGCTATCAGCATGCAGCATTGCCCGCATCCCCTCAACAGAGAGCAATTCCACCTTCTCACGTCTTTGTTTTTTGAGTTTTTTAAATTTTAGTGGGGAAACAGCCATGGTCCTTGGTTACACATGGCCTTCATGCTACAATGAAATAGTTGACTCTTTTAAGGAGGGCGCAGCTCACAGTGGCCCATGCAGGGATCGAACCAGCAACCTTGGTGTTATCAGCACCACACTCTAACCAACTGAGCTGACCAGTCACCCCTCACATCTTTGTTTTGAGGCTAGACAATTCCATTTACCCCTAACCCAAGACCACAGAGGCCAAGGCTTGGATAAGAACCCCCTTGCTCTGCCCTTCCGTTCTGCTCCAGTCCACATGCCAGGAATGTGTGTGCCCATGTGTGTGTGTGCACACGTGCACACGTGGATGTGTGTTGTATGTTTCTTCATTTGGGCACTTGATACAAATAGCACTATTCACTTCCATGGTAGGATTCCTCCAACTGTAGTCTGACTGTATTCTTGAGAGACCTGTAAACGCTAAACAAATGTAACTCTATTTTCATTGAACGAATCAGATTCTTTTCTACCACCTGTAAACACTAAACTTGTCTCTCAGGGTGATGACTCAATTGAAATACACTTTTATAGAGTTAGGTTTTGTTTCTTGAAAGTCATTATCAGGCCATGTATTTTATTTTTTTACTATGAAAAGAGCTCCACTTAGAAACATTGCCTTCAGGTACAGTGGGATAAGCAAGACAAAAAAATGCCTGTGGAAATATCAGAATTTGCCATGGTGGTGTGTTTTATGTTGCAGTTACAAATCTTATTAAAGAAACAGTCTCAAAATATGAAAATCAGTATCGCGGCAAAGAACTGGTGGGGTTTGTCAACTACAAGACATTCGAGGCCATCGTGCAGCAGTACCTGGAATATCTGGTAGACCCTGCACTCAACATGCTGCAGACGACTGTTGGTAAGTTTCTCTCATGAGTGCCTTTCAAACAGTCCTCCCAGTACCTTCCATGGGTCTCCATGCCTTGCAGAGAGAGACAGGGATGGCGTGATCAAGCCCAGACTGCAGATCTTTGTCCATTTTGGGGGGTAGAGGGAAGGCAAGACCTTCCCCTCCACGCAGCTGTGTAAGGTGTAGTCAGGTGCTAAGCCCGGGAGAACACACAGTCCACGAGAGGACGGGATTGATGGGGCCTGCTCAGGGTGGGTGGGGACGGAGACCTTTGTGTCTCCCTGGGATCATGTGCACCCCCTCCTTCTCTCGTGGTCTGTAAATCTGGGGAGCTTGGCCTTCGAATAGGGTCATGTCTCATGATTTCTCTTGTCTGTGTCTTTAACCCATTTTAGTTTTGCTTGCGTTTTACTGATGTTTTGTCTTTCCTTTGGTCAGAAATTGTCCGGCAAAATTTCGCTGACACAGCCAAAAAACATTTTGACGAATTTTACAACCTTAATCAAATAACCCAGGTAAGTACCCACAATGTACTTGCTGGTCACCTGTTCTACTGGCTGATTGATGCAAGTCGAACCTTTGAAAAAAGCTGGATGTACTGTTGTTTGGAAATATGAGGCCAGGTTACATTTGCGGGTGTGCTGGGATGGCGACTCCAGCAGCATTGCTGTTTTGCTTCTGCTCAGGAGCTAGTGAGCGCTTCCTGGGAAACACGAAACACTGAACGTGACCTTGTTCTCTCTCCTGCACAGTCTCCCATAGCTCGGCATGAAGCGTCTGAACATATGATTGTCCCTAGTCACTGGTTGGTATTTTGGATCTTTTTCTAGCACAAAGGACAGGATTGTCTGCTAGTGCTCCTTCAAAATTTTTATAAGCCTGACTTAAGAATATTGCCACAGCTGTGTGGGTTTCCACTCAACAACTTAGCAACTCCCCCTAAGCCCCTCACTCAGTAAAGTGAAGAGAGGGGTGTTCCAGCTCCCACGTGGGTTCTAGATAAAGACCTTCCTCTGCTCAGGCCTGTGCTGTGGGTCAGGGTCTCATTCCACAATCTCATTCAAGTGAGCAAGGAAAAGAATGTCTGTCATTTCCCCCGTAACGTAACTGAATTTCTCCTCTCACCTCCTTTGCCAGTTGGGGAAAACTAAACCTCATTTCTGAGCTCTCCAACTTTCCCAGGGGCTGCGTCTGAGACCTGGGGTGCTGTACCACGGGGTGGGTGACATGCCTGGTCCTTCATTGCCTCCAGGCTGGCAACTTGCAAGATGTACGCCATCCTTCCCGGGCCTCAGCAGTTGGTCCCCTGGGTCCCCCGTGCTCCCGACTGCAGGGCTGGTTCTCCTGAGCTCTTACCAGCTGTGCCAGGGCGCAGAAGCACTCCACTGCACACACAGACTATCCTGGGGCCAAGGACACTCCAGCACTCACCAGGACCCCACCCCTTGGTACCATCCTCTGGTAGCTAAGAAGTCTCAGCATAGCATCCTGTGTCACACGGGGGCTCCTGGAGCTCACCGAGGCCACTCTCCTCCACCATGGTACTCTGCCCGTTCCTGAGTCTCGTCAGAGCCAGGGGTTTTGTCACCTCCCCATGTCATTCTTCTTGGAAGTGATGCACCAGCCATTTCTGCTCTCCAGCCCCAAACCTGCGAATGGTTTTGACACCTGCATTGCTGTTTGTCATATACTCTCCAAAAAGGAAGAAACTCAGACACTCGCTCACGCTCTCTAAAACCACTGCCTCTGCCTTCAGTGTGCAAAAGTCTGTTTGAAACTCAAAAGCCAAGAAGTGACTTTTCTCCACTATGTCATCCGTTTCTTTCCCGGAGTGCCTTTGACGGTGTGGGTGTCACAGGATTTCGGGGAAACAAATATCAGGCTGTTATCCCACTGCGTTTGTTGGCACATTGGCACTCGAGTCGTTCTTGAAAGTGTGGTTTCAACTAGGGAGACCGGAGAGATGGATGTAAAACTGTAAACTGAGCTACAGGAAGCAGGAAGACGGTGGAGTGGGAGGAACGGATGTCAGAGCAGAGAGAAAGGATGGGTGGGGACACGGTGGGACTGGCACTTGCCAGGAGTATAGTAATGACATGGGACTGGTGAGGACAGCCACCAAGGGTGAGGTGGGCACCTGGTGGAAATAACGGGCCTTGTTTGACCTAAACTTATGTTTCGTCCTGTGTTCAACGTATTGGCAGTACTTCCTGAGTTATTTAAACAGTAAGAGGGGGGAAAGCAGTGATTGATGTGTTTCTCTCTCTTATCCAACCAGAACAAGATTGAAGACATAAAAGTGGGACAAATGCAAAAAGCGGAAAATCTGATCCGCCTTCAGTTCAGGATGGAGCAGCTGGTTTACTGTCAAGACCAGATTTACAGCACGGTTCTGAGAAAATACCGAGAACAGGCCTTTAACCCTCTCCAAACGACTCTTCAGACCCCTGTGATGATGAAACCGTCGGTTTCAAATGACGAGTCTTCAGTTTCCTCCATCACTGAAATCGGGGTACACCTGAATGCATACTTCTCGGTAAGTGTGGGTGCCCAAGTGCGCGCGCTGCGGCGTGCGCCGGGCAGAGAGTGGGGTGTCCTGACTGAGAGTCGCTTAGCTGAGTGAAGAAGGGAGGACCACTACTGTGTATTAAACCCTTTCTTCCCTGATAAAGTGCTCATGTATTATCTCATTTATAATTTTACAGTAACCCTATCAAAACGCTTTCAACTCACTTGCCCCAAATCAAGTTCTTCAAAGTACTTTATATTTTGTGTTGTGCATGAAGCACAAAATTACTATTATCATAATACAGCAAAATACAAGCATTGACCCACTGGTCGTCACGTAGCTCTCCCTGGTGTTCAGAAGGCGCTCAGCTCTTAAAACACCTGAACCTCACCAGCTTCACAAAAACAGGAAGGAAATTCCTTTCCCTAGATTTTGGGACCCAGTCAACTTCGTGGTTTCTAACCCCCCACCCATGAACTAAAGTATTAGGGCCCACAGAAAGGAAAATAGCTTTTAAACTGCAAAGAAGCCCAACTCCTGAAGCCTTCTCTTAATCGGAAGAGAAAGTAGAGTTTCCCAGATGTGGAGTCCAGCTGCCAGGCAAACTGGGCCTGCCTGTGAAGAAAACACGAGGCCAGCGCTGAAGCAGGTCCCAATCTGTCCCAGAAGGGAGCCAGGGGATCACAGGGCCAGAAGGTCCCTATAGGGAGGTGGAGTGGAGGCCTGGGGGAGGAGCTCCTAGGAAGGCTGGGGTGCCCAGAATGTGCTATGGGATTGCTAGCGTACCAGGGGGCTCTCAGTGCCACAGGGAGTAGCCGGGTAGTAAAGGTTGGGCAGCCCAGACACCACCTTCCAGTGGTTTGATACTGAACACTGGAGTGGGGTGGATGGGACCACCAGGACTTAGCAAGACAACCACGTATGCATCGAGACCCCAACGCTGCAGGCCTTGGGCCGAGAGCCCTCCAGCTAAGCCTTCTTACCTCCTCTTCCAGGAAACCAGCAACCGTCTTGCCAACCAGATCCCATTCATAATTCAGTATTTTATTCTCCAAGAGAATGGCGACTCCTTGGCGAAAGCCATGATGCAGGTTCTGCAGGAGAAGGAACACTATTCCTGGCTGCTTCAGGAGCAGAGTGAGACCGCCAACAAGAGGCAATACCTCAAGGAGAAAATTTACCGGCTCACGCAGGCGCGGCACGCTCTCTAT